TCGTATGAATAGCAAAATAAGAAGGCAAAAAAAAATGCCAGATATGAAAAATGAAACTACCAAACTCAGCAAAGCAACTGAAGGTAAAAATCACAGCCAAGCGGTTATTAAAGATTTGCTTACTCTCTGACTAATTTTGTTGGCGGCCCTCCGCTACTAGCACGCAGATGAATTTTATTAGTTTTCTGCGCATCCTCTGGAAATATTCGCTTTAATGTACACCTCAAGGGCGGCTGAGATTCATACATTAATAGTAGAGCAGATAGTAAGCAAAAATGACCAATGCTGCGAGGGTTACGGTTGGCAGGCAGGTAGTTGCAAGCTGGGTTAGGGTGGGCCGTCGTCACACATGCCACACATGTTCAAGATTTTCACTTTTTCTTATGAAGAACTTTTTTTCGGTAACTTTTTTATTAAAAAAGCAAAGTTTCATCGGGGCAAAACAAATTATAATTTATGACCATAACGGGCGATAATAATATCTGCGAAGGGGAGCAATGCTTAACAACTCGAGGCCAAGTAGGAAATATTATAGCCTATGAGGGTAAAAAAAAGAAACACTCACTTTATGATAAGCGCGCTACAGCGTAGAAGTGGAAAGAGCGACTGCTCAATAGTCACCATTGCCACCTTGCTTATCAGCAGCGCAGTGAGTTGGGTTGAGACAGGTTTTGTTTTTTTTTTGTGCTAGCTATCCAATCTACGCAGTATTGAAATCTACTTAGTTTTTACTACTTCTTTTTTATTTTATTTTTTTTTATAAATCAGCAGTGGGCGTATCTTTTGGTAGACATTGTTGCTGTTTATCAAAAACCTACATGTGTAATTTCATTTAGTTTTTTTTTTTCATTTTCTTATCAGTTCGTTCGAAAACAGTCATTTCATACCTTATCGTAAGACACCGTACAACATCCATACATACGTATGTAGGTATGTGTATGCGTGTGCGTAATATACAACAACATTCGACTTCTATTTCATAATTTCCCCTGGCATTGTGTGACGCTTATCGCCAACTATTGCCACGCATAGAGTGTACATAGAGCACAAAAAGCAATTGAGAATTATGACTGTGACTGACTATTAGATAAGCCTGAAAAAAATAAAAATAAAACAAATACAATAACAAAAGAGTGTACTATAACTATTTCAGCAACAGAAACAGGATGCTTAGACAATGAATGGCTGATACGCTCCACGTTGAAGATTGAAGAAGTGGAAAGAATCAGTTCTAGCTGCAGCCTCTACCACAGCAGTAAAAGCAACCATTGCTCTAGGCGTGCTAACGGTGCTTGTGGAATGGGGTGAGCTCTGTGGGCACTAAGTTTGTATGATATGTACAAATGTACATACATATATACTATGTACGTATGTATGTATGTATATGAATGAGCACCTAAATAGCGGCTATAGGTCGACTACTCCCCTGATAGCAGTTTTTTATTTTACTATTTATTTCTTGTTGTGTTTTTGTTGGGCACTTTTTTTATATATAGCAGGTTTGCTTACGCCTATTTGGAATGCATGTACCTAAGCACATATGTATGTAAAACGGAATATACTTAAAGCTATATTGATAAGTTTTGCTATGCTAAATAGTTCGCGAGTTTGAAGAGATACATAATCTTTGAAATTTTTTCACCCGCAAAATCCTAAACAGGGTTGTACACAAATGCAGTGTGACCAGGTTACCATAACTAGATTTAGCAATTATACTTTAGGACTAGCTAGCTTCGTGGCATTTTTCTGTTTCTATTTTATGTTACCATTTCAATAAGTAATTTTCATCTTTTTGGTACTCTAAAAAAAGTCGAGTTTATAAAAATGTTACAAAATTTCGCGTTAAAATTGCCAGTTATCCTTATAACTTTTATACTAACTGGAAATGTTTCACTAGTGAGACTAATCTCTTTTAAATTCGAGCAGCCAAAATGAAAGCTTAATTGATTTGCAATGGCAAGTTGAGGAGTACTTACTTACCAACACATTCAGGCAGGGCTTTTTTACGATTTTGAAGATGTATTATTTAGTAGACCTTCCAATAGCTCTGATATTCGAAGCAAACAAATTTTTTTTTTAAAGAAACGGATCTTAAATAAAGGAAGAATTGGAGCATGCGTGTCGCAGTGTGTATGAAGCAAAATTAAATTGCTACGGAAGGCATATCGCTTTAAGAGATTAGAAAAATGCTTCTTTATGAGTACCCCCCACTTGAATTCGCAGAGAAGATGTTAAATTTTTCAACAGTTTTCGGTGCTGACTTTTTAACTACCTCTAACTTTTTCTAACCTCGGTTTAAGTTAATTTAGCTAAATTTTTTCGGATAATCTGGTCACACTACATATATATATGTCGAACAAATAGATTTTTGCGCTATTTTGTTTTCGAGGCGTATTTAGGTCCGCTTTAAGAAAAGTACAACGATTTTTTACATTTAAAATAAAAAGGCGGTGTGCTTAAGAGGTAAGAGCAAGTGGTTTAAAACACGAGCCAATATTCACGTGCGATTATGAAGGATCAAAAAATCGGTGAGAAGAGGAACGCCAGGAGCTAAGATTTCAATTTCCGATAAAGTATCGTAGTTCGATGAACTTCCTAGAACAAATTGGATTCTTCAGCTTTACAACGACGGCTCTAATCTAATCATTGCCGTTTGAACACCAACAACAAAGAGTAGTATAGTAACAAATTTGTTATTTATTCAGATGAAGGACATCAAGCAATTGGAGAAACGTTGGACGAAGTGTATCTCTAATTTGTTAAGAAACTATTCGTATTTGAGCCGTATAAAAGTCCTTCATTCAAAATGTCACATTTAACTGAACCTCGTACATTGAATTGCAAATTAAATACTAAGAGATCGTTCCGAACTATGGATAAATTTTAATTTTCATTGAAGTTCTGCAAAAGAAAAAAAATTAAATGATTTTCAAAAGTTATGCAAAATTCTAAATTTCACAATTTCCGGGACTTCGCAAGTGTATTTTCTGGTCCCGTTTTAAAGGTGATATTTATGTATGAAGTAAAGTTAAAATCTAAAAACTTAAAAAGTTTTGAAAGTAAAAAATCGTAAAAGCAAAAACTTATAAGAATTTTCGGCTATTTTTTTATACATACGAAACTTCAAATGAAATTTTCAAAAAGTAGATTTTTTTTACTTTGAAAAAAAAAAAATACCTTTGCCACCTATAAATAAGGTTATGTTAAAATTTTTTTATTTAATTTGAATTTATTTTTAATTTAAAGTGCGAAAGGTGCCACGCCAATTTTTTTTAAATTTAGTTTTTGATGCAGAATTACAAATAATGCGAAAGTATATAGATTTTTCGTCTCTCCTGAACAATTTAAAAAAATTGACTTGTAACCTTTTCACGTTTATGTAACGATATGTATGTAAGTATGTACATACAAAGTTCAATACAAAGTCGTTGGCTTAATAAACGTGGTTCCCTATTATGTCACAGCGAATTTTGCACAATATATGTATGTACCAGTTTCTATTCTAATATTTTTCCGCTAATTTTTTATAAAAACACAACAACAAAAAACATTAAAATATAATAATAAACCTCGCGAAAATTCAATAAATTTTCATGCTTTTTTCAACTTGTTAATCAGATTTTGCAGTTTTGTAGCCCATTAAATTCTAGTAAAAAAAATGCAAGTTCGGAATTAGTTAAAAACCGCATTGATTTTTCAGTTTTTTTGTTGAAGGTGTCTTGCATTTTTTCCATATAAAGTATTTTCCAATTTTTTTGTTTTTTATAGAAGAGACTGCGTGAAAGAAAATGTCAAAAATCTACTACTTTATTACAATACAATTGATTGAACTACAAGTAAACATACTTAAAAAAATTCTAAAAAATCTGGTTGAACAGTTGAAAATTTTCTTGAAACTTTTAAGAATTTTCGCCAGTTTTGCACAAAGTTTAGAAATTATATTTTTTGTTTTTTGTTGTAGAATGAACCATATTTTTATAAAAAAAATTTCGGAAAAATATTACGATAAAAATTGTTGCATATATAGTAAGAAAGCACCTGTGCCAATACTTTTTGCCGGCAGTGTATGTATGTATCTAAAAACTTTTGGCACATACGTATGTACATACATGTATATATGTACATATATTTTTTTGCATATCGCTAGGTACTTTATTGCAATTTATTTCCTCTTTCCACTATTCAACTGCTCCACATGACTCGCTCGTATACAATCAAGCAACTTCAATCAATATCATTCTTTAATACTGGGCATTTCTTGTGCTGTCTTTCTCAAGTGGCAATTTATTCATTTTTTAAGATTGGCTTAAAATATCTGAGTTTCTGAAAGCGTGGGTACTTGAAGAGTTTGTTTTTATTTCCTCACATGACAACTTAGGTAGAGATGTGCAATAATTCCTTGAACAATGGCGCTTCTTTGTTTCTACTTAGAGGTATTTCAACGGTTCGTGGTAGCCATTTTTGATTCGAGTATAAATTGCCATCGAATGTATGTACATAGATACACGCTTGGAATTGCATGTGTACTGTGGTGGATGAGTATAACTTATAGCCCACAAAAAAATGTGAACGTTTGTATAAAGATTTACTAATTAATTTTTATTCAGGCACATACGAGTATATGCTACAATTTTTACCTAACTTGTTGTTGGCAAGGAAAAAGGGACCAAATAAATATCATTTTATTTACTATACTTTGCATCAATCAAGCGAGACTTGTCGAGAGATTGTCGGTCTCTCTTTGCCTAGCGAACAATATGAAAGCTTTGTTGTTCAGCTTCGTTTTATGCACACCAACCAACCTCTTTCAAGGGAATGATATTTTGTGAAGCACTACTTGAGTCTCACTGAAAGAAAACTAAGACCTTTAACATTGGCAAAAGCCATCCAGTTCAAAGCGTCATTTTAATCAGTCAGGCTCCATTGCAGTTTTATGAATCCAAATCTGTACACCGTTTACTCCATCCTATAAACATTAAACTATGAGAATAGTGTTTCACTTGTACTCACTTGATTTGACGTTTGCGTTTGCGCACTGGGCGAATGGAGCACCTCGTGTTTCTCCAGTTGTTCGCGTGTCTGGAATGTCGCCGTACATTGCACGCAGTGATAGGCGCCCATTTCATTGCCTCCAATCGAACCCGGACTTGAAGCTGAACACGCAGCATCCATATCGTAAATGCTACCACCACCGCTACCAGCGCAACCATTAATATTAGCCGCCGCGTGCGCATGCGTCGCCGCATGTGGATGATGATGTCCGTTGGTGGCAAAAGCCAGCAATTGACTGGTGGGTGAGGTGGTGCGCGCAGATGTGTTCGATGTTAACGCAGTCGCAGCTCCGCCGCCAATACCATTACTCAATCCATTTCCTCGATCACTTTGTTGCTGTTGTTGTTGTTGTTGCGCCTGCATGGCAGCCATAGCGGCCATAAGTTGTGCAGCAGCAGGCAAATGTGGATGCATGCCATGCGGATGCGTTAGGTGGGGCGGCAAAGGTGGCAATTGATGTTGAGCGGCAGCTGCCGCCGCTGCTGCTGCGGCTGCGGCTGCAGCAAATGGTGAAGTGGCGGCGCCGAGATCGTTTGCTGGTGTTGGTGAGACGGTGGGCGTCACATTCGGAATCATTTTCGATGACAACGACGACGACTGTTGCTTACTGGTGTTTGTGTGCGCTGAGATGGGACTGTTGGCGGTGGCGCTGATGATAGAGTTTGTAACTGTTGGTGTAATAGGTGAATGTGTTGCGTATTCAATACTTGTAATACTACTGTTGTTATTGTTTTTAATATTGCTATCGTTGTTGTTGTTGTTATTGTTTGGATTAGGTGAGTTTGTGAACTTTACAGCGCTGCCGTTACTGTTGCTGTTACTACTGCTGTTATCGTCGTCCTCGTCTTCGACGTTCTCGTTGTCCTCGTTATCGTCTTCAATATCGACGACACTATGATGTGAGTATGATTGTTGATGTTGTTGCTGTAGGTGGTTATGTTGTTGTTGTTGTTGTTGTTGGTGATGGTGGTGGTGGTGATGGTAGGCGAGGCTGGATGGAAAGTTTTCGTTATTAAGTTTCTCATGCGAATGTTCGCTGGCAATATGCTCGCGCAGAGACTGCGAATAGAAAGAAAGCGGGGCGAAGGACAGATTAGATTACTAATACAAAACAATATTGAGTGTATTAGAACTACACCGACTTAATAACTGTAGCCCTATTTACTTTACTGGGATTTCCTGCTTTTTCATTTTTTGCTTTAAAACTTGGTAAAAAAAACTTAACATATGCATTTACTTACCTGAAATCCTAGTCGTGTCGGACATCGCGGACAATTTACCATAAAATCTGTGTGTGGTGAAATTGGACCCGGCATAGAGGTGTTCTCCTCCTCAACGTTACTGTTGTTTTTTGAACCGTTTTGATGATGAGGATGGTGCAAACTTGATGCCAATGAGGGAACTGGAAATAGAAAAGAAAAATATTATATAATAATATGTTATCATTGCATTTTTTGGGATTTCTAGGGGACATATAAAAATAGTGAATATTAAAAAATGGTTAAATAAAGAATTCGGCATTAGTGTTGGAGGTCTTCTGAAGAGAAGTAAATTTTTGTTCCCATATAAAAAAAGTGGACAATTTTGAGCGCTTTGAGCGACCCTTAAGCATTTTATGATTTCGAAAAAATATAGGCATATTTTTTGGTATATTCTAGGAGGTGAGAGCATTAACATTCCGACTTTGCTTTTGTTTTGGACCATCCTAGTCTATATAGATATGTACGTCCTGGAAATATTTAGAGATATCGACAAGAATGTGAGTGGTTTTGCCTTGCCGCAAAAATAAACAAGACCGTAAATCACATCTCAAGCCGCGAAGCTTAACCAAAATTTTAAACATTCGCATATTCGATTGCAAATTACGCATTAAATGCCTGCATTCTTTCTGCATCCGTAATCAGCGGCGACAGTACATACTTAACTATTTCGCACAAACTGTTAAACTTATCAGTTTTGGGAGCGCACAAAAGTCAAGATTAAGGATCAACTCTTTCTTCATTTCATGGTTGGATTTCCAGTGAATCTTTTATACGATTATGTACATACATACATACATACATATTTGTGTACCTAGCTATGTACAAAAAATAATAATAATAAAAACTGCGACTTCAGTACAACTGTTGCATGAAGGTATAATTATACCCTGCTGATAAATGAGGGTTTTATTGTGTGTTTTATATTAGTATTTATATGTACATACATAAATACATAGCTACATACATATGTATGCATGTGCATGTCCGTGCGTACAACAGTTCACATATCAGTTGAGCCTCTGCCTCTCAGCTTGCTTTGGTTTGCCAATGTGCGTGTTCAAGATGATGATACACATAAGTAGATGATGATCTCATCGTCAGGTCTTTGTGCTCCAGGTTTCAAACTACATCCAAAGAAATTTTTATATAGAAGTAAAGGCAACAACAAGGCAACGTATAACAGCCACCAACAATCAGACAAGGCAGTCAGTTGGGTAGACAAAGTGTTTTAAGGCAGGGAAATTCTTACTCGTTGGCTAGCAACGCTAAATCGAGCTCAAGCAGAGCAAGCGAAGAAAAAAAACAAGGCATAAACCGTAAAGAAATACAAAGATAAAGAAGCAAGCAAAGCAGATGGCTACAATAACAACAAATTCAAATTCGAGCATAAAAATGGTAATAAGAGGCAGTGGTGAGGTAGTTTTTTTTAAGTACCCGTACCGGAATTCGCGCTCGAATAATGGATGTTGTACCGTTTTCCGATGTTTTAAAATTTTTGATGATTTCATACAATGCTTTATAAAAACGCTAAAGGGACTTTCAGTAGGCTTTTAAGTGCATAAATAGTAAATTAAGCATGCATAATTTTTTGTGCGCGCCTTACAACATGCAACATCTAGTTACGTGCCCTCCATACTGCCCGTTTATTATGTTGCATACTTTTAGGCACCTATAGAGAATTTTGGCGACGAAAATTTAGCGTAGCGATTGTGAGAATTCCACTACAGGTTTCAAATCCGCTTGTACATACATTTTTCATGGAAGGAGTTTAGTAAAATATTTGTACTCCCTTTTTATGCAAATTTCAGATAGAAAGTTCTCAATAAAAGCTCTCGATGTGGTAGAAAGAATTTGTTATTTTTCTTACCCAGGGTATACATATGTACGTATCTGCGTTGACTCGGCGACAATTGTTTTACATTAAATCTGTTTTTTTGTTATCAAAAGACACCTGCACTATGGAATTTCCAAGATGATGACTCCGCTCCAGCGGAATAAGAGTTTTTGTGGCACGAAATGAAACGGTAGGAAGTAGTAGATAGCATTGGAAACTTTCTGAAAAAATTATAACGACGTTGCACCGAAAGTAAGGGCGAACTTACATATGTAAAAATACTGCTTTCGTTAACTTCTGACCGAATACAAGCCGCTATTTAGGAAGGGTGTCTCAAACGAGGCTTTGTTTTCCTTTTATCTTTTTTGTTTTTTTTCCGCAGTGGGTTCCAACCCCAAAAATTAGCGGGTGTACATTTGCTACCCAGAGGATACTTAATGTAAACAGTTGTGAGCTGCTCGAACCTATAGCAAAATAATCGCTTTCGGCCGTTCCCTGGTGTATAGGGATCAATAAGTTTCCCCAGATGAAAATATTAAAGAAGAAATCAATCTACATATGTACCATATTTCCCTTTTTAAATTGATTCATGTAAGAAAATAAAGAAAAAAAATTTAATTAACCTAACGAAACCGAATTTCCCTACTTAATGCTCTGTTATCAATAAAATATGCTAACTAAAAATTTTTAAGAACAGTGTCAAGTGGATTACTTTGAAATAAAAAAAAACAAGCGAATAACTAGCTTCTTTTCATGTTGAAAAGTATATATATATTATAACACTTTCTCTCAAGCGTAAATGCTTATTGACACATCCTTTACTTATTAAAGTTAAATTTTTAATAATCTTTCTATGAAAACCTTTCACATAGTATCTATCTATGGCTTTGTTTCTTTTCTTTTCGAGCAGATATCAGCAAGAAGAAGAATTGAGAGAATTACGCTCACAGAGAGCGAAATAACGAAAAATTAAAGAAACGCAAAACTAGCAAGTAAACAGCTGATCGGTGTAATTGACTAGTGAAAATATTTGGCGCGAATTTTTGTTTATTCATTTTGACAGCTGCTAGTTTTTGCTAGTAAAAATTTTACTAGCAGAAATTAGCAGGAGAGTCAAAAAAGAAGAGCGTAAGAACGAGAGAGAGAGTTGCTAGAAATTAGTGATAACTTGTGATAATTATTTATTAAGAAACAAATAATAATGAATTCAAGTAGATTCTCGCATTCTATTTCCTTTTCCATCAGTTAAGGTACATTTACCTATAATTTGCTACACTTTGCAGTGAAATCAGATAACATTTGAAATTTTTGTTTAACATCACTGCTGCGTGCATGGAAAACAACAAATCATAGTGATTCGGTTTAACTTTGACTGTATGCATAGAGGTAAGTTAACGAAGTAAGAGAGCGCGAGTGAGATAGCGATTGAATAGTGTGAATGCAATGCAAATGTATGAGTGACCAGTTGGATTCATCTGGGAGAAAAACAAGCAAATATGTATAATACGAAGAAAGATAAGGTATGTATGTGTACATATGTATGTGCTACGACGGTTAACTGGTTGAAAAAGTCGCAAAGCAAAGGCAAAAAGGTAAACAACAACAATTAAAAGCAAAAAATAATATCAGGAAAGAAAATAAAAAACATGAAAGTCAAAATGGTGTACAAAATGGAGTTTAAAGCGCTGAATATGGAGTTCGAGTGCCGTGAACAAAGCAATTTTGTTATTGCTAACCGCTGCTATCTTTTTTTGTTCTGCGCTTTGCTTGCAATTGATGCCGAGTAGGTATGCGGGCATTAATTTCAATTAAAATGAATACTTCACGTAACGAACTGTAGTACTACATACATGCCGAGTGTGTCGACGAGTAGGTATTTTGCCTGAGCTTGAGTTGCAACTTGCAAGTGCGCTTGCACAGAAGTGGAGAATTTCATGCTATGCAATTGCAGCTGTGTGGCTTTGTGTTGCTTATGTATGTATATGTTTGTATGTACATTCACAGCAGCGCTTATCACTTCGATCTAGTCAAGTCATTGCTTCGCCGCTATTAAAAGAAATTAATTTCGTTAACGTTTTATTAAAAGTGCTGTAAGGAGTGCATAGAGGTATGTACAAGTATCTATTTATCCCCACTGTTGTGTTTACTTTACTTTGCCGCTGCCTTAACAAATGTATTCCTTCTTCTTCAATTGGCACTCACATCCATGTGACATAGTCAATTTGGTTGGGGTAGAAACGCATTCCTACTTCAACGCTTTTTTTTTGTGCTTCATTGTTGCTATTGTCATTTGATAGTTTACCTTAATTTACCTCAATTAACCGTAGGCTGGCAGGCAGACACACAACAAAAACAACAAGCGCAGCAGCAGCAGCACTGGCAGCAATTTGTTGATCAACACGCGTAGCAGAAGATACTGACTGGGCGCAAGTATTTATGAACCTAAATTTGTTGCTAGATATTTGTACGCACAGAGTATATTGCTGTTGTAGTGGCCACAACAGCAGCAACGTGTCAAAGTCCCCTTGAGCATAGCTTGCTGGAGCCAACAGCGTGACAGCGATATTCAATTGAAGTTTTTGTTTTGTTCCTTAATAAGAACGTTCATAGTGTATCTATCATACAGTGAGGGCCAGTGAAAACCTTGATATGTACATTTAGGTTTTTTTTTAATATTTTGTTTTTGTTTTTTAATTTTATTATTTTTTAATAAAATTGTAGCTGAAACTACAACAAAATCCATATATCTCAAAATTTCTAACTTTGTAACAATTAAAAAAAAACGCAAAGTTTTTATGAAAATTTCACTATTAGTGGAAGTTTGAAGTGGCTACAAAATACCCATGATTTTTGGTAATTTTTTTGTTGACAGTGGTTTTCATATGAAATATGTAATATGCGATCATTCGTGATTTGGAAGGAAATGCGCAACAACGCCAAAAAAAAAAAAAAAATAAAAGTCAACGGTATTTTAAACCGGCTTCAAACTTGTATTTTATTCTACTGAAATTGAATGGGCCTATATATAAAAAAATCTTAAAATTCAGAATAAAAAGTGTAAAATTTTGATGCATATTTGACGAATTTTTTGAAATGTTACAAAAATAAAAACCTTGAGTTTCATGAATTTTGTTGTAGTGTGAACTATATTTGTATTAAAATTTAATAAAATTCAAACAAAAAAGAAAATATTAAAAAAATGGAATAAAATTTACTGTAGATAAGATTTTCACTGACACTCACTGTATACATATGTAAGCATGTGTGAACACATGCACATATGTAAATATGTATAGTTTTTTACGT